GCAATTGTTCTACCAACCCATAAAACGGGCGCTACTTATCTCACTTGCACATCCCTGCACAACGTGCACTATCGAAAGATCCTTTGGCACCTTACTCAGGGTAAAAACTTGGATACGGTCAACAATGACAGAAAATCGGCTTGTCGGTATTTATATGATGAGTGTGCATAAAAAGAGTGTTCTGGAAGCTAAAAATAAATTTGAGAAAGAAATTTTGACAAGATTTAGCCATAACTCCCGTAGGCCAGTGCCGAAATAAGATTTAGATAGGTTCGAATAGCATTGCAACTACTTTTAGCGTTTTCAAATGTTCAAATAAAACCATTTTTTAATTAATGAACAACGTTATCTTATTTTTGTCTCACCCTGGAGAAAATCCTGACTACGCCCTTGACCGCCAGACTTTTGCATTTTGGATTCGGGGGATCTTGAAAAACGTCGAGGTCGAGGCATCAAAAATATTTAGGCTTTCTTTCTGTATGTATGGGTGTTAATGTGTTTGGGAAGGCATGATTCTGTTTACTCACTTTGAAGCTTAATAAATCCTGGTATATAAGAGGAATAATGTACAGTACTACTTGGTGTGATATACTCTTACGTAAGATAACCTTTGTAGTTCTATAAATCAAATATTATAATATAATATAACAGAAGGGTTAAAAGTACGAAATAATCTAACAATCTTAATCTTTGCTGTTAATTTTTGATTGGGCAACGCCGGACTCAACTGCTAGTATATATATGTTTAACATATACATAAAATAGAATGGCTGCTGTCTGTCCTCCTTATACTCCTAAACCCTTTTTTGACGGCCGGATGGCCGAGTGGTCAAAAGATAGCATTTTGTCTTCTATTTTTGACAACGTCCTAGCAAAATTACCAGGCTCTGTATCTTTAATAGAAGTTAATAGCCGTATTCTTTTACATAAACTTAAAAAACAATATTGTAACTGTTTATAAACAGCACGAAATGAAAAGACCAGTGATAATCCCAGGAAACATACCTGTAAGCCTTTTACAGGTAGAAAAACTGCCGTCAAGCTTGCGTAGATCAATCTTTTTCAAATTATAAACGTTTTATCTCAGATGTACACGAAACACTTTAATAAAATTAAGTCACAAAGTACAGCTCGAAGTCTTTTTCAGTGTTTGAAGTTTATTTTTTATATTTAGTATCGTGCCGACATTGCTTCATTCAAAACTTCCTGTAGTTGTAGTCTATGTAATGTGCATTTTATTCATATATTCAGTCTTACTGTCAAATCTGCTTCCAGTATGCTTATACCACAGCTTTCAAAAGTTTTTCTTCAGTTAGATGTTTTTGCTGAGCTTACTTTATCAACCTGGCTTTACAGTTTTTTACGGGATCACATAAGAGCAATTATTTTCGCATTTTTACAAGATTTTTTCATTTAAACAACTCATATNGAACGCCCCAGCATACGAAATTTTCAGGATACGACATGAAATTCGAACATATTTTTGCTCCACGATACGAACAAAAACTCACCATACGACGTTACATTAGTTCGCAGCGCCATTTTTTATTCACTTCTGTTCATCAGTCTCAATCCGCGTGTTTGCTTCGTCATAGAAGGATCTTGCTCAATAAAGGAAATCTTGAGGTATTATCAGAAAGTGACTGATTTTATTGAAAAGAAACATCCCGAAAAGGTTCACACTGACCGTATTGCTGCTCGAAGTAATGACATTTGCCTAAGTCATTTTATAAACATTTTAAAAAGTAGGCAAAGCCAAACCTCTTTGGATAGATATTTTACCAAGCAACTTCTATCCAGTGAAAGTCCTGGTGGAAGTAAAGGAAGGAAAGCAAAAAGCAGTGAATACAAAATTAAAAAAGAAAAAAAAAGATAAAAAATTAGTGTTGTTTTATAAGTTATTTTTAAGTTATTGTTACATTATGTTATGTAAGTTAAGTTTTTAGTATCATTTCCCTTTTCCCTCTCTTCCGCCACTACTTCACACATCTACCGTTGTCAATCCTCAAAGGTAAAGTGCAAATAAAACTACATTTTTTTTTTATCAATTATTATTCTATTATGGTTATTTATATATTTAGAACCACAAAACACATTTTTCAGTGTTTTCCTTACTATACTTTTTTTTTTTTTTAATGTACTGCTTACCTTTAATTTGAGTGTGTTTTGGTGTTGGAACGAATTATTTGGTTTTACATGTAATTGTACGAGGAAAAGATTCACCTTACGACATTTTTATGATACAATCTCAGTTTCGGAACGAATTAATTTTGTATCCTGAGGTACCACTGTAATTTTATTAAATTAACATTCATAAAAAAAAACTTTTAAAAATTTTGTAATAATTACCTTTTTCCACCTATATCTGATGTTTTTGAAGTTTTACTGTCATCTTCTGAAAGGGGAATGGCAAGTAACTTGTGATAAGTCCGTTTAATTTTTTTTGCTAGAAATTCATCAATTGAATCATCACTATCAAAATCATTTCTTTTTTCTTCTGGTTTAAAATCTTCATCAGACTCATGCTCATTTATATTATCATCATTTTCTTCTTTCTTAAAAATATTATCACTGCCATTTGAAGCTAAAAATAAATCATTAAAAGATATATTTCTTATTTTAAATAAAATGAAGTAACCAATTTCAATAATATTTTACACATGTGTGTGTTACTGGAAAGTTCAAAGTAACAACAAACCTAAGTTTGCTTAGGCAATGTGCAATTTATCACAGTTGTTTCAAGTAATAGCAAGGTTGCAGCTGAAGTTTTCAATGCAAAAATGTGTATGTTGGACGTTCAGCACCGCCATCCTGTAAGCCTAGAAGTTTGACAATGGCATTTGGAATGTCGAGTGTGATTCCATTGACGTTCCAAATATCCGATGTACACATTTTTATGATGAATACTTCANTTTAAATAACATCATGTAATAAATCAATTATTTCTAGCAATGTACAGTACTTTCACTAAAAAAAACTTTTCTTTCAAATATAGAAAGACTTCATTATTTAGTCATCACTAGTTTTAAATCAAATTTGAAATAGATAAATATATCAAAACTCAAATAATTCTACCTTTAAAAATATATTTTTCTTAACTGATAGCATCAAATACACTTCTCTATATTTCCTTGGTAAAATAATAGTTATGTTTAATTATAATTTTTACTTACTTGTTAATTTCATTATCCTAAATTGCAGGAATTTATTTGTTATACATTGACTGTTATCTCAATACTTTCTGTCTTAGCTGTTCTGCATAAATAGATTGATAATAGGAAGGACATACATTCTACAAACATACCATAACTAACATTCTTAATTTAAAACAAAAATTTATAAGAATTTAATAATAAAATGATTTTCTATTAGTTAACAATCTATGAATTTTATATAAATCAGTAGTTAATCTATATATATAACCCATTGAATGGGTATTCGTCCACGTAACAGTATGCCAAAAACAGGCACTAGAGGTGCCCTAGCAAAGATTTTAAATTAACAATAAATTATTTTTATTTGTAATAGGAATTTATTATTGATATGGATTTATTATTTATACCACGGAATGGTATAAATAATTATTATATGCCTTGATTAACCTTGCACCGCATGTTTACAACATCCCATGACTTAGTGAACGTCGCGCATTGACTCACGGGAAATTTGTTGAAAAAATGGCGGATACATTTAAAATCGAGGTTTACAAGCGAATATAAATAAACAAATTAAACTATTTTAAAGTATTTATAGAATGTTTAATAGATAAAAATATAGATCCGTATGACGCGATTGGGACGGTAAGATTTACCCTCTGAACGAAGGGGTGGCGACCCCCCTCTGTGCGAACGATAAATGTCTAATGAACCATACCCCTACGCATGACCCTACCCAAGATATAACCCTCCGAAAATTATTCTATGGGTCATGTGACTGCCTGTTTGCCACAACTTACCCTGCGAATGAGCGGGTTGGCGAGCCCCGAGTGTGCGCGTTAATTTTTTTTGTGTGGAAGGCTCCCTTTTGACCACAGTGTCATGTGACCGGAAATGAGGTAGGCACATTTTCAGGGGCTTATATCTCACGAAGGGTTGCGTGTATAGGTATGGTTCCTTTGACTTTATTGTTCACACAGGGGGGCTACAGTTTGAGGGGTCACCACCCCTTCATTTGGAGGGTAAATCTTACCATTGGAACTTTAACGGAGCTGTAGAGCATATTGATAGAAACAAAAAAGTCAAAAGAACTGTGCCTCATGGAAATTTGTAAAGAACGCCCACTAGGGGGTTCTTTTGTAAAGAACACTCACTAGGGGCGTCCCGGACTACTAGTGGTGTATATAAAATGATGATGTAGTTGACAAAATGTGCTTTATTTGGATAGTTAGGAATTTTTATTCAGTTACGTATTTTTTCCTTCAGTCAAGCTAATATTAAATGAGATTAATTATATTTTGTAGACCTGTTTTACTATGATTAATAACTGAAAAAAGTCTTATACTGACTACTAGTTAGTTAAATAAAGTTATTTTCTTTTATGAACTGTGACAGAAGTGTTTAGTTTGCAATCTGTTAATGCTAGACTTTGTATAATATAAAAAGAAGATACAATGATATAGTATATTAATTTAGTAATTATTTAACCATATTTTTAAAATTTAATAAACAAGATTCTGATACTGTATGAATATAAAATTAAGCATTTATCAGAATGTAATTCAATCTATAACTATGATAATATTTCATTATTTGTTTTTTAACTTTGAAATACCTTTTAAGTAATTAATTGATTCTTGAAAATCCAATAATAATGTTTAAAAATTCCAACTGAAGCAATGAGCAATTATATACTTCCAAAAACATAAAGATCTGAATTGCTCCGCAGTAACTTACTTATTGAGTTAATAATAACTAACATTCTTAATTCAAAATATCATTGCTAAGTAAAACATAGTATAATAAAAATAAAAAAATACATTAAAATTTTTAAAACTGGCAAACCTCTGAAATAATTTGAACATCGTCATCACTGTTATCTTCAGATGACTGCGACATCTGTTTTATTCGTCTCCTTTTCTTCATTTGTTTGTTATAACTTCTCGTTTGACTTTTCTTCTCTGAAGACACATCTGAATCACTGTCAGTACTACTTTCTTTTCTTTCTATTTCATCATCAGATGATATTAATTTTCTTTTAACTTGCTTCCTACAACAGAAATATTTGTATATTTATAACAAAAGACTACATACACTATACATTCATACATATATAGAGTGGTCTCAAATTACAAGTGAGTTGCATTCTACGCAACTTGTGTATTTTAAATTTTGTGTAATTTAAAAACAAATTTTGCCATTCAAATGTAAATGTCATAATTGTATTCTGCAAGTATGCAATTACTTTAATAACACACTATAAAAATGAATAATAAAGAATGCTATATTAATATATACTTTCAACACAACATTTAAAATAAATAAAAAAGTTTTTCCAAAAAGGAATTAATTCTTGAAATGTTCTTGGAAACAAAGTGTAAACTGAGAAGAGAATTAGTAGTTGAAAATAAAAAGCCAATTCAAACAGATAAAAATAGATAATTGAAACTTTAGCTCAGCAGATCTAAGTTGCACGTTTTAGTTTGTTAATAGAAGTCTTACTGTAAATTAGAAATACAGTGGTACCTCAGGATACGAAATTAATTCGTTCCGAAACTGAGATCATAACGTGAAAATGTCGTAAGGTAAATCATTTTTCCCCATACGATTACATGTAAAACGAAATAATTCGTTCCAACGAAAAAACACTCAAATTAAAGCTAAGTAGTACATTAAAAAATAATAATAAATATAGTAAGGAAAACACTGAAAAATGCGTTTTGTAGTTGTAAATGTATAAATAACCATAATACACATTTCATGTGTTTTATGTGAGCAGTCTGTTCGAACAGTTGGAGTAGAGAATATTGTAAGTTACTGCTAGCAAAACAATGCGAAATATGTAATTATTTTCGGTAATCCGGACACTTTTGGTAATCTGACACAC